ACGCCCGGACTAGAGTACTAGGCTACCCGGTTTTGTCGAACTCTTAGCTCAGCGTTAGCCCAACAGCCTGCCAGTCCCTTGTTGTTCTCCCCCTAACCCTCTTGAACACCTGCTACCCTTGAACCTTCCCTGATCAAACTAAAACTTGAGCTTTTGCTGTAGGGTTAGGGTTAGGGTCACACGTCAAAATCTTTAATCACATCTAGGCCGCAATAACTCCTCTTCCTTTCCTTCCCCATTGCCAACACTGAGAGTGGAAGCTCTTTCTTAATATCCTCTCTTTATCTTTTTAAACGTATGCATAGAACAAAGCCCGCCTCTCCCGCTTTCTTCCTTCCTCCGTATTACACTTGTCGCTAGCCGTGCCTTGCTGTCCCTCTCACCCTATGCTCTATTCACCAAAGTCGTTGAAACTGCTGATATATAGTTGAAAGTGGAGAATTCCCCTGGCCCTAGACTACGGGGTCCCCCAACGATCCCTGCCTACAACGCCCGTTCTAGCCTTATCCTTCCTCCCTGTAAATACACCAGCCCCGCCAAAACCTTAATTTTTTCAGACATGCTAACCCAGCGCCCCGCAAGTATCGCTTACCCTAGGGTTACCCAGCTTCAAACCCCAAATACGATTCATCAATAGATAACTCCAATTCCAACGCTTGAAAGCTTTACTAGCCCTAGCAAAGCAGTATTCGGCGACAATCGTCCGAGGGCAGTAGAGTAAGATAGAAAAATACCATTGTTAGTTCTATGAACCCTTGCAAAGTATTTACCTAGCTAATAAACGTAAAATTGTTCTTCTGTAAGAGGTACGTTTTGGAGTATTTCAACCAATTCTCCTCTATCCTTTTTTTAGTGGTTTATCTGATTCAAATTTCGCTACTGCCTGTACTAAAACAATCGAGATTTAATTCTTAACAGTGCGCTAATTTTCTTCAATACCATCTTTCACTTTAGCAATAATTTCTTGCTCTAGCCTGTCCAACCTGGCCTGCTCACTCCGAATCTGTTTCATCTTTCTATTTTGCCTCTGCCGGAATGAACGGTTCTTAATAATGAGCGCGCGCAGGAGACCTTTCGACGCACACATTCATTACCATTTGACCTACTTATGTTTTGGCATAAGGAACACACTAGCCAGCGACCCTTCTGCTTTAACTGATCCTCCACATAAACATTGCCATTGTTAATGGTGAACTTCTAGGCCAAACTATTAGTCCTGTGCTTCATTTGCTGTGTTTGAAACTTTAATACACTGCTTTATCTCGTTCAAGTTGTATACAGTTATGAGGTGAACACATTCGTCATAACCTTCCCTCCTTCCAGCACTTTCAATACCTCCAGTCCAGCTGATTGCTCGCGTTCCTTCGTCTTTCTCACTCTCTCTGTATGCCACTGCTTTCTTTTCGCTTCCACTTCCCGTTGTTGACGGCAAATACCTAGAAGCTCACAAAACTCGGCCTTTCGTGCTTCTGCTTCCTGACGAAGTAATTCCTGGATGGCTTTTGATATATTCGTGCGAATCCTCTGTATAGTGTCGCAGTGCTGTTTAGCTTGCAGGATGCCTGTTAGTTCGACTGCAATGTCCAGAAACTCCTTCATCCGAGGCCAGTTGATAGGCGTGCGCTTCACTGCCGTATCTTCAATTGTGGCTACCGTCTGCAGGAGCTCCTTGCTGTTTTCTTTATCGAATGTATCTCGTATGACACTAAACTGGTCCATCCAAGTATGAAGTGGTACCGCTTCCGCACAGCTCCACTCATGTTCGTGTAGTAGGGTTGACAGGTGTCTTTGTGCATAATCGAAGCACGCCCTCTCAAGAATGCCTTGTAGCTGAACCACCAGCGTATGCTGACATTTGAAAGGCAAGTAGATCAGGCTTTCCCTGATCCTTATGCGCTTTTGCCTCGCTTCATCTATGTTGTTGTTGTACGGTTAGTGACAGTATCACAGCATTGTTGATCACGGCTTTGAGCCACATACCATCTGATGTCTTTGCATCTTCTGCTGGGACCTCGCATATTCCCACTCGGTCTGCTTCCACCTCAGGTACTGCGGGCCCATCGCCGGCCGAATCCTTTCTACAGCCACCATGATCGGGTGTGGAGAAGTCATCTTCGTAAAGCCTCTCTTTCATGTTCTCTACCTGCACGTATTCCTCTTCTGTCCATAGGGGATCCTTATCTATGGTTCCTCGGTCCTCTTCTGCTGCGGTCTCGGGTTCGCAAGTGTGATCATCTGGTGATGCCTTTTCGTCAGATGACTTCCGTTCCGGCTCTCCAGCTGCCTCTCCGTTGAAGTTCTCTGTAGGCCTATCGCCAGTAGGCCCTGCAGTGGGAAGAATGTCTTCCCAACTAGCAGAAGACAGATAACGCTTTTCGAACACGTCAATGTTCATCAGGACCCTAGCCGAAGAACATACCACCTGATAACCATACTTGTCGTACAGCCTTTCGATTTCTTCATGATACGGGAGCGGGAGATATTGGAGAGCTTTCACTATGTCTGTACTACCACTCTTCGTCTTCTTTTTCTTGATTTTCTTCGGCCGACCCTTACCTCTTCTGGCTGTTAGAAGTTGTAGCTGTTCAACATGATCTCTTAAACCCATGTAGATGGCTTTGTCATCTGGTACAACCCCGTGGCACCTGTCGCATGGTGTCAGGCTGACAAAGTCGCCGCCAATGTTTACCTGTCTCATGGTGCAATCGCAGTACGAGACAGGCTCACTGCATGATGATGTGGTCATGGCGCGAGTTTACTGTAACCAGACTTTTATCGGAAAGGTGCGCGAGTGCTTGCAGTTTGTCAATTGAGACCGAGATAAATTGAAGCCATCGAGGAAGCTGGTTAAATAGAAAATGACGCCCATGTTAGCTGTCTCAAGAACGCGGGGTCGAGAGACATCCATCTGTACGTATCCTGCAAGGTTGCCTGAATGCCTAAGCTCTGAGTCAACCCCTCTCATTAACAAGATCCTGCTTGAAGACAGTCGTGGATTGTTTGATGGCCGTAAAAAAAAAGACTATAACGTAGTTATAGCTGTCCAGTATACTACGCTATGCAATGACTGATGTGCGAGGCTTCGATTTGGTGAAGGTCCGGAGATGGCACGGCTAGCAAGTTACCTATGAAAGTCGAATTATGGTTGATCGGTCATAATAATGCCATGAACAGGCTTCTAGGCACCTGTCTTTACTCCGATCTCCAGCTGATTTCGAATGGGAAAGTGTGCAATGCCCATCAAAGTGTTGTGTGTTTCCATTCTCCTGCTATAAAGGACAAAATTGTGCCCATTCTCATTACAGCCGTAAACGGTTATCATTACCCGCAATACTTTGCCTTTTTCTGTAAATATACCTTCGAAGATGTAGAGGACACCCAGTGCATAGACTGCATTGTCCAGTACTTCTATCGCTGGGATTATAACACCTTGGGATCCGATCATGGCGAAAGACCTGGACAAGGACTGATGCATAAGGAGGATGCCGACAACTCCCCGGAAAATGTCGACATTGACCTCGGTTCTGACCTTATCATTCAAGTTAAAGTGTTCGCTCTTGCGTGTAAGTACGAAATAGATCCACTGAAGTCTCTATCGGTGGCCAAATTCGAGTCCGCAGCTCAACAACATGGGAAGACCCACTACTTTACCGATGCTGCCCGAGAAGCATATAGCTCAGATACGCTAGGTTATGCCAGAGAAATGCGTGGCTCTGTGGTCAAGTTTCTACACAACCGGCGGTACCTGCTACACGAAGAAGACATCAAAGAGCTGATGCTGGACAAACCTCAGCTAAGCCTCGACCTGCATCTACGTACTCCAGCCGGTCCCGCGAAGCCCAGTCCACTTCTTGAACTCGGCAGGGGCTTCCATCAAATTAAGAGGCAGTGGAGTTGGTCATTTTAATATATCAACGCGTTCAAATTCTGCGCTCCTTATATTACGTTTATAATAAGAAGATCCTACGTGATGATCAAGCGATGTTAAACTTTGCGTATGAAGTTGTCTTATTTCTACCCTTCCTTCCGGAAAACGAAACCAATTCGCAGTACCTCGGCCAAGTGCGTGATCGACGAGTTCTTTATGAGCGGCTTCTGAATGCTTGATTGGCCAACCTGTCGGCTTCTTTGTTCATCTCCCGCGGTACATGCCAGAACAAAACCTCAACGTCAGATGTATTCAAGACCTTGACAAGCCTGTGCAGCTCTTTGAACAGCTCAGAGTTCTTGACAGGATCCCGTTTGGCATTTTTGTAGCCGTTGTCTTCCCATTTAAACACCCACTCGGTCATCCCTTTGACAAGGTACTCGGAATCGGCCTTGATGACGACTGTACGAAGTGGGTGTTCACCTAGCGCTTTGGTCTGCAGTATATCTATTGCCTGTTCAAGTGCAATGATGCCGGCGTTCAGTTCAGCGATCTGGTTTGTCGCGGGCGCTTGACATAGTAGGAGGCTTTGGTTAAATGGCGACGTCTCGCCAACGAAAACTCCGACGGCAGCCTTCGCACCCGGCGTGCCGTTACCTCTGCAGGCGCCGTCAACAGCAATGAATATACTGTCGATATGTGGCGTAATACGCTCGCAATTACTGCAGGGATGATCGTCTTCGCATGCCACGTAGACCCAGTCTTTGTCACAGCCGACAACCTGAATCAAGTCCAGCTCTATGTCGTCTCCGTAGCGTGAATAAGGATCAAACTTTCGATTCTCCATCCATTCTCGACCTTCAGGCTGGTAATGCGCTGTAGTCTCCATATCGCAATGTATATCCGAGTACGACGATAGCAGGAGCTGGAATAGATAAAAAAGCGTTGATAACGAGTGGGCGGGCACAGTGACTGATCCACGGATGCAACAAGCGTGATGCTGCTGATGCTGCGGCCGACAATTAAATTATGAACACCTTGATCTCTTACCAGCGTATTCCAGCCAGGATACTCACTGTATGGGTGCCTGAGCGCTTAAGCCTTAAATCAGGCACTGCAGGCCAACGCGGTTTCTGGGCTGGTCCAATCAATCTCATCTGTTTTAATCCAAGCCAACAGAACGTCCTGCCAACCACCAAAAAGTAAGGCTCCGACGCTGACTAAGTAGGCTTTCATTTAACCCCCGCTTTTGTCTGATACAGAAATTAACATAGAATATCCGTCATCCCGATGGCACAGACATGAACCATCCTAGCGGGCATAGAAAGGCCGCTTATATGAATGCCTATTGTAGGCACGTCTTTAGCTTATCGGAGAACTCGTATCTCAGCCAGAAAAAGCCCATCCGTCGTGCTATTCGGATTCACGCCGTTGTCGTCGCAAACTTCACCGAACAGAAGCTCGTTGAAATTGTGCAATACCTCATCGGCCAAGGTGTTTTTAGGTCCCGGGCCGCTGCGGCTCTCGAGTTTCCAGATCTTCACGATACCGATATACCCGGTGCACAGAGCCCTGTGGAACCACCGGCTGAGTGCCAACCAAGGAGGATGGTAACATTTGATTTGTCGTGGTTGAGAAGGTATATTTAGCTCACAGTGTTATGATGTTTACGTCTTCTCCCTTTCCATAGTACTGATTGGACATTTCTAGCTCGTTCAACGACGAAAGCTATGCCGATCTAACCTTGATTTCTTGTGCCAAACGGTACTCCGCTCACCGAGTTGTTGTTTGTCCACAATCTTCGGTCATAGCGACGAAACTTCTATCCCAGTTCCAAAGCACCAAGCAGGACCCTTCGTGTGACTCTTGTGGAGCCTCGCCCGGATATCATTTCGACTTTCTAGACGATGATCCTCAAGCTGTGGATTGTCTAATCCAATACCTTTATCGACAAGACTATCAGAGCAGCTGCTATAGTCCTAAAGTAAAGGATGTTGGGTCATGTGACGCCGAGCATGAAGTATCAGTATCATTGTCGGAACAAGACAACATCGATGACTCTCATCCTATACTCCACGTTAGGGTATATGCACTGGCCGAGTTCTATGGCATACTTGCCCTCAAAGACCTAGCATTGGAGAAGTTCAACAAGATAATACAAGAAAATGTGCAGACACATCAGTTTCTTGCCAGCGTTGAGGAGGCATATACGTATACAATGCAAGAAGATCGGGGGCTACGCGATGCCATAACAGAATTCTTCTATACACACCCTGAGTTATTGGACGAGGAGAGGGTGCAGCACACTCTTCGGAGGACAGAAAACTTATCATTTGACATAGTTATGTATTGGCGCCATAATCGCCAAACACGAAAGAAGGCTGTGCCTATCTGGGGCTATCCCGTAGCCGTAGATTCTTGAAAACAAGAGTCGGACATTAGCAGATACAAGATCAGATCTCGGGTACCTGATTAGGTACTCTTGTTATTAAATCATTCTTTACAGTCCTCGAATGTGTCCAAGTCATCGTCATCATCCTCTGCCATGGCCCCAACGCGGCCAAAACCCTCCAGTAGAAAAATCTTTCTATCATCCGTCCCCCTCAAGCTCCCTATAAGTTCTAGTGCCTTCTGAACTCTCTCCCCTGCTAATATCTGGTACTTTCTGTCCTCTTCTCTCGCATCGTTAATGGCCTCTTGCTCTCTCCGATCTAGCTCAGCCCGCTGCTGCTCTATTGCGGCTTGAGTATGCTCTAGTTGCAGCTGAAGAAATTGCTTATTTTGTGTAAGCTCCGCAATCGCCGAGTTTACATTTGCCCTGAGTTGAGAGATCGATTTCGAGTACGCTGTATCTCCCAACACACCAGCGAGATCTTCTGCATCGGCAATAAACTGCTCTAGCCCTACTGAGCTTGTACGCAAGCGGTGGACAGCTGTATGTCTTATGTTTGCAATGGAAAGCAACAGTTCCTTCGAAGGTTTGCGGGAACCCCCCCGCTCCAATACACCGTCTCGTCTGAAGACCTCAGTCCATTTACTGAGCTCTACTGATTCAGGACAGTTCCAGCAACGCTTTCGCAATGTATCAGGCATGGCCTGAGCCCCAAACTCATAACATGCGAGTTCAAGAGTCTTTTGAAGTCGTTCCATGAGTAGGTGCTCCGTGGGAAACGGTAAATACACTGGAAATAGCGATAACGACTTGCTAGCCTGGCCGTTCGGAATGTCATTTCCCGAGTCTAGCGGTACCGTAATTAGCCACGGATAAGGAGTCTAGCAGCAAACACAGCTCACCAAGTAAGGCAACTGTAACCCCAGCGCAGTCAAATGTTCCCTTATTATCAGCCAATTGACTCTGAGCTATGCCTTCGAGCGCGGTCTGTTCATTTCTGATAGCCTCTGCTTCGAGTATGTCCCTTGCCTCGCTCTGAACGGCGGATGGGTTGAATAGATCCGGGAATCGGCGGCTCGCAGTCAACATCGATTCATATACCCCGCTAGAAAGCAGCCTAAGAACAATCTGACAAATGGCTTCGACACCGTTTAGGTCTACGAATCGTCGTAGTGTGTTATCTCGTCTCGAGCAGCTCTCAATGGACTTCTGTACGGGCCCAAGCCTTCGGAATTTGGCTTTATGACCCACGAAAATGTCTTTTGTTGCCTGATAGACATCTTGGTCGTTCAGTTGACCCGTCGCTACTGGATCCATAATGCGAACTTGATGGGAAGGAAAATCGATTATGGCCTACAACTTTTATAGCTATAGTCACAAAGTAATGGTAGTAGAAGATAAGGAAGATAGTTTTACCCAACATCTGAGGAATGATGCGGGGTAAGATTGCGTCAACAGGCAGGCCATGGTTCAAAAGCCAATAGAATGCCGAAGCGCGCCCAGATCTCAGTTGACGAGGTACCCTACAATTACTTACAGCTCTGATCAGGGCTACTTTCTGTATCCAAGTACATCAATTGACCTAATGCTTATGTGTAAACATGTCACCGGATCTTTGGTTATCACTGTCTGATGCCGGTTTTAGTATCATTCAAAGCTCCTCCCTGATAAACATGACACATATCTCTGAGCTCTACATCATATTCCTCGACCCCAACCAATTTGTTCAACGGTTCTCCGCCAGTCCAATATCTGGCAAGGCGTCTTTGGCTTGCCTCATGGCTGCAAATATGTCACGCTCGATGGAATCTCTAATGTTGTTCAGGCCCTCACTCCGAACCCGTTTGACGTCTTCCTCCTCCCGATTTAACCTTTCTCTCTGAGCCTCAATCTCTGCCACCTTCCCATCAGCTTCGTTATTGATAGAAGCAGTAGCTCGATCCGCCATAAGAAGTACTTCTCCAATCCGCTCTCTCAGCGGTTTGACAGCGTCTAAATACATTGGAGTGTCGAGAAGCCGTATGAACTCTTCAGCATTCAGTAAAAACTGGTTAGCTTGGAAGAAGTTAAGGTCAAGTCGATGAATGGCGATATTCTGAATCTTGCCTACTGAGCGGAGTAGGTTCGAGAGTGACTCAGCATTATCTTCGGTCTCGAATGTTTTATTGTTCTGGAACAAGTCTATCCAGGTTTGTAGCGAAATCGACTCGGCGCAGCTGTGGTCGTTTCTGTCCAGTGCTTGTTGCATTTCTCGTTGTGCGAATGAGAAACATGCGTGCTCTATCATTATCTGTAGTTGCAACATGAGTCTCTGTCGTGGCTTGGAGGGAAGACGACAATCTTGGAGAGTCTGGCCAGGTCGACTGTTTGGCAATACGCCTGCTGTAAGGAATGAAGTGCGTCAGCATATCGCTGGCTCACCTAGGTTGGGAAAAGAGTGGTTACCTCTCGAGTCACCAGCTTCCTCGTTTAGTTGGTTACATTCACCACCAAGAAGCTCCATATCCTTTGTAGACGGACGTCCAGCTGCTGACTCTTGCCCCTCTTCATGGTTTGAGACCTGCTCTTTTGGAAAGAGGTCGGGGAATCGACGTTTTGCGACATCAGTACATGTAAACACCCCTTCGCTTAGCATGCCTTTAAGTGAAGTTACGATAGGTGTAGTGCCGTACTCTTTGACCAGCTTTCTAGCATCTTTGGCAGATGATTGTTGGCCCTTCTGGCGCTTTCTTATGACCAATCTGATGGACTGTTCCCCTGGTTCTTGTGCGGCAATTCTCATCAGCGAGGGAGAGTTTTTGAAAGCAGCATAGATCCGTTTATCGTCAGGAAGGGCCTCTTGCTCCTCACGTTCCTTGGCCGTAGCTTCCTCCAGATGGCAGCCTGGACAGATCACTGTTGTGCCAGGATCATCACCTTCACTCTCGCAAGCTTCCTTAACTTTGGTACATTGACAAATGTCGGTCGTCGGTTCATCAGACGGTGTCGTCATGGTACATGGATGGCCAGCAAAGATGGATGCGGGTTGAAGAGTGGTCAAAGAAAGATAACAAGAACAATGGTCTTAATTGGAACTGAGGGGTTGGTGATGAATCAATGAGGACAGTTCTGTGTGTCTCATACTACAGCCAATCAGAGCCCCAAGCCCGGGTGGCAGGTTTGGTGGGAAATCAAACCGGAACAATACAAGTATCCGAGACATGCTGCTGCGCACTTAGGGACTGTTATATACTATTGGACCTACTTCCTTTCCGTCTATCTAGCTACGGTTCAGCTTCGGTCAACTAAGGTCTATATGAATAGACACTACGCCAAACCCTAGCTAAGTAGGGCAAAAAAAAAAAAAAAAAA